GCTCTTGAGTTCGCGTTCAAGAGATGTGTATGCGTCGAAATGCTCGCGTGTTCCGCGTTTCCGGAAAAGTTTAAACGCGTCGGACTTTTTACGGTAAACCTCCGTGCATTGTTGATCCCACCAGAGCGATGGTGTTTTCTTACGAATAGACGATCGCGGCACCGGTCGTGTTTGAGCTTGAAGTGCGCTGTCGATGATGAGATTAGAGAGGAAATTATATTCCTCCAACGGCGGAAGCTCTTCCACTGACGATACTGTATCGTCTATCGCGGATTGGAACTTAGTCCAATCGATGTTACGGGTTAGATCATACGCGACGTTAACGGATTCTGACGAGTTGAACCCACTAGCAATCGAAATTTTGATCGGCAAATGATCACTACCGTGCGGATCCTGGATTACATGCCAAGTGCAATCCAACGATAGTGAATTGGAGCAAAATGTGAGGTCTAATCTGCTACCATTCGAGGATGGACCAGCCAAACGTGTTACTTCTCCATTGTTAAGTATTGTCATGTTGAAGTTGTCGCAGAGATCATAAATCAAAGTAGAACGGTTATCATCGTACAGCTCCCCCCAGCCTGTACCGTGGGAGTTAAAATCTCCCATGATCAACCATGGAGCGGGAAGTACCGCACATATGTCGAAAAGTTGTTTGCGATTAACAGAGACTCTAGGAGCAATATATACAGAAGCAATACAAAGGCTCTTACCTTTAATGGTAGCCTGACATGCGACAACTTCAATACCGGGGAATTCGGGAAGATTCACTCTATAGAAGGAATGGCACTTTTTGATCCCCAAAAGTACCCCTCCTCCACGTGAATCCTCACGATCCAATCGAATAATGTTAAAATCAAAAAAAGGGAGATCAATTTCTGAAGAGAGCCATGTTTCACAGAGGGCAAATGCATCGCAATTATTGTTATGGACTAAATACTTGAACGAATCTAATTTCGGAATAAGACTTCGACAATTCCACTGTAGAACAGTGATCAAATCCCCGACCTCGTTTGGAAAATTATCCATCGAAGGAGATGATAGCTGCAAGAAGGGGCCATTTTGAAGTCAATTGCTTCAAGAAGGATTTCACAGTAGGAAGCAATGTGAGGACAATGCTTTTCAGAGGATCAGAAATGTTGAGGTATTTGAGAATACCGTCCACAATGTCATCAAATGAGAACAACCCAGATGAAGCAGGGGTTTCTGTTCTTAAAATTGGGGCATCAGGGGTTTTGGATGTCCCCGGAAGAGGTGGAAAATCCTGGGTATAGTCAGTTCTGCGGAATCCAGGAGGGGTAGAAGTCTCCTTTTTTCCACCACTCCTTGATTTGGGCAAGCTGATTTGGGGTTCTTTATTTGCAACAATCCGCGAACGGATGCGCTTTCGTTTCCGTGCAGAACCTTCCGGAAAACTGAAAGAAGTTCCCTCCTCAGCCAAGTCAGAGTCAGTCTCGTCATCTGACAAAAGAGAAAAGGGATTTTTGTCATTGGTCGATGGCGTGGCTGTCTTAAGCATTTCTGCAAAAGACCGCCTGGAACGTTCCTTAAGGGAGCGTTTCATTTTGTCCCCGAGCTGTTTGTACGCCGGGCACGACGAGAGAGCATGAGGAGGAGTTCCGTTGCAGTACACGCATTTTGGTGCAGTAGCTGCGCAGGCGCCATCCTCATGCTTCTCCCCGCATGTGGAGCAGCGTGCCTTGTTGCCGCAGTGGGAGGCCGTATGTCCCAACCGCTTACAATTCTGGCAGTTCATGACCCGAGGTACAAACAACCGCACAGGAAGACGAAGTTTTCCCAGCTCGATGTATTGAGGAAGGGCAGATCCAGAAAAGGTCACCCGAAACGAGTCTGTGGGGGTAAAACTCTTTTTACCCTCGCTGAGCGATACTGACTTCATTCTATGAACGGCCAGTATCTTTACCGGAGAAAGCAAGGGGTTCTTAAATCGGCCAACCGCTTGCTTCTCCAGTATCTCGGGGTTCAGGCTCGCCTCAGTGACCACGCCTTCGATCTCCACATCAGAGGCTGGAATGTACACCCTATATTCCAGTGTGAAAAACTGGGAAACAGCAATTTCATTGGCCTGTTTCAGGTTAGCGACGGTCACACGAAGTTTGTTGTGCCTAACCTTCGTTATTTCGGTCACGGCAGAGAATCGCTTTGTCAGATCATCAGATATCTGAACAACATTCAAGGGTTTGTTTTTGGGCTGAAAATAGACAACCCATGGGCCAGTCGAGTCATTCGGGTAGGCCCGCAATCTGGAGCTTTTCTCAGCCTGCCCATTGTCAGACTGAGACGACGAACCATGGATGACATCATCATTTTTCTTAGATGAATGGTCATCCATGTCGTCTTCTGACAAAACATCCATTTTGTTCAACTAGTGGGAGCGCAAAATGCTCTCCCACTGAACGCACAGACACAATACACAGAAAACACTACAAACACAGAAATACAAAATGAAAATTTAACTAATGGGGGAGGAAAAGAAACAAAAAAAAACAAAAACTTATCTGATAATCCTATACTACTACCACCGAGCGTTATATGTGTAGGCGTTTACACCGATGGCTGGGAAGCGACGCGCAGCGTGGATGACCTTCGCTGTGGTGCACTTGATCGAGGCGCGGCACTCAGCGCACACAGGCGCACGATGAATGATGAACGATATAGATGTAGAAACGGGTGCTCACACTCGATGATGATGATACGTGCGCGGGTATGCGTAAGCGCGTATGCGTGACCACGCAACGATGATGCCCAAATTGGTTCGCGAATTTCCAATAGCACGGATTACTCTTTCCGAAAATGACACTTTCTACTAAAAAAAAAACTCACTTTTCGATCAATTTACCGGGAACTATGCCAGGAGTCACTTAGTGAGAAAAAAAAACTGATAATTTATATCAAGCGAATACCGAGAAAACTTCCAAAACAACGGAGCGCGAAACAAGTCGACCGTACTTCTTGCTAGGACGCAGTGAGATGTATTGCCATTGATGTTGTCAATATTCGTATATTGATGATATTGATAGAATTGACTGTTTTTTTTTTTGTCAATATATTCTGAGTATTGACAAAGTGAAATGAAAATCAGCTTTTCTTCAATACTTGTCATCAATCATCATCATCAATATCACCTTTTCAATAATATTGTCAGTATGTCAATTTATTGTCAATATATTGACATGTGTAATGGGCGCTTGTGAAAGCACTGCACTATTCAATCCATTGCTCTGTGCAGACCGTTTGTACCAAACGTTAGAGGACGAGGCAATGAAAAAGCCAACAAAAACATTCAGTCACTCACGAGCAGGCGACGCACACCACTTGCCTTCGCTCACACAGCATGTAATTGAGTCATTTTTCCATAGAACATGTACGCTCAGTCATTCAAAACAAACATTGGGTACCATCACGGCAGAATAAACGTGTTGACTGAGCTTCTGACTGAGTGCTCGGCTGTCAGTGACTCGTTTACCTCTGAATCATTCAGACTCTCTTACCTTACCTTACCAATCAGGCTAAGGCCTTGTTGTCCTCTGCTGTCCGAAGAAGTCGTCTCCACTCTACTCGATCCATGGCCACAGTTCGCCAGCCTCGTAGTCTGCGATGGGTCCGCAGGTCACCTTCTACTTGGTCGATCCACCTTGCCCGCTGCGCGCCTCTTCTTCTTGTTCCTGTTGGGTCGCTTTCTAGAACCATTTTCACTGGGTCGTCGTGCGGCATTCTTACGACGTGCCCAGCCCACCGTAGTCGCCCAATTTTTGCGATGTGGACGACGGATGGTTCTCCCAGCAGCTGGTGCAATTCGTGGTTCATTCTCCTCCTCCACGTTCCGTCATCCATCTGCACTCCACCGTAGATGGTACGCAACACCTTCCGTTCGAAAACACCTAGGGCGCGTTGGTCCTCCACGAGCATAGTCCAGGTCTCGTGGACGTAGAGGACCACCGGTCTAATCAGCGTCTTGTAGACAGTCAACTTCGTGCGGCGGCGAATTTTATTCGACCGGAGCGTCCTCCGGAGTCCAAAGTAGGCACGATTCCCTGCCATAATGCGTCTTTGTATTTCTCTGCTGGTATCATTTTGGGCGGTCACCAGTGAGCCCAAATACACGAACTCATCGACCACCTCGATTTCGTCACCGTCAATCTGAATTCGGGGTGGGAGGCTAACATTGTCTTCCCTAGAGCCTCTTCCTTTCATGTATTTTGTCTTTGATACGTTGATGGCAAGTCCAATACGTCTAGCTTCAGCCTTCAGTCTGATGTACGTTTCCGCCATCATCTCAAAGTTCCGTGCCATAATGTCAATGTCATCGGCGAAGCCAAGGAGCTGGATGGACTTCCTGAATATCGTGCCACTCGTGTCTATCCCAGCTCTTCTGATCACACCTTCTAACGCGATGTTGAACACCAGACACGAAAGTCCATCACCTTGCCGTAACCCCCTTCGAGATTCAAAGGGACTCGAGAGATCAGTCCGCATCGTGCTCTCTTGCCGTGCGGATCTATTTGCTTTTTGCTGAAGGTAGTGTTACTACTACCTAAAGCTACAACAAATTTAAACAGCACTTTTCAGTGCTCAACCTGTAAAAATTTTCTACCTTGTTCAACTCTTATTCCTCTTCGATCCTTGTTTGGACCCTACCCGAGGTAATCCTTCTTGGATATCGATTTGGAAAATTCCTCTTCGATCCTTCAGATTCTTATAGTAATCTGCTTGGAAGTCGATTTGGATAAAAATTTACTGCCGCCATGGCGCCTAAACGCAAAAGAAAGGGGCAAACTCTTGACCCCCCTTCTGATGAAATTAATTTGAGTAATCAATTTGATTTGCTCACGGATGATGAGAATGATCCATCATCCAAGAAAAATTCTAGTAAACTTTCCCGGCTTAATGCCAAGAAGGAAAAGATTCCCCCTATTGTGATAACCACTACCGATTTCCATGCTCTTCGCATGGAACTTTTGAATTTCGTGAAAGTTAAGTTTTCACTACAAATTGGACGTCGGGGTGAATGTCGTGTATTGGCTGAAACCTTGGACGAATTTAAATGTCTTCTCAAGTATCTTACTGAGAAGAAGCACAAATTTTTTACTTACGACACCAAAACTGAACGTGTGTTCAAGGTTGTCATGAAAGGACTGCCCAGTGGTGAATCCCTGGATCAGATCAAAGATGAACTGGCAAAATTACTTGGAGTTGTGCCACTCCAAGTAATCAAAATGAAAATGAAATCCCATCCTGGCGATTCGCGCAACGGGATTTCTAATGATTTTTATTTAGTTCACTTCAAGTCTAGTGAACTAAACAACCTTAAGGCCTTAGAAAAAGCTAGCCTTATGCTCCATGTCCGAGTGAAGTGGGAACACTTCAGGAAGACTGGAGGAAATTTCCAAAACCTCACCCAGTGCCGTAAGTGCCAGGGATGGGGTCACGGAACTAAAAATTGCTACATGCCAGCTAAATGCATGAATTGTGGTGATTCCTCTCACGCAAAGGACGACTGTCCTGTGAAGGAAGATCCTAAGAAATTTAAATGTTCAAATTGTGGTGAAAACCACAAATCCAATTTTTGGGAATGTAAGACTCGCAAAGCGATCCTACAATCTCGTTCTAACCGTCAGGTAGGAAACGCTCCACGTTTCCGACCAGGTACAAATTCCTCTGCTGTTAACAACGGTCAGCGAGGAACAAATTCTACATTCGTACCCGTAGGTACAAATATCACCCCTGCTTCAAATGTTTCATCTGTACCTACTCCCCTCGCTGCTAACAATGTTCAGCGAGTTAATGGAGCTACCTATGCTGCTATTGCAGCGGGTAGAAATCAAAATACTAACCAACGTTCTAACGGAAATTTTGACAATTTTGACTTAGGAAGCATTACTGCCCCCAAAATGGAATTTTTACAGAATTCATTAATTGACATGATTTCTGATATGCTTAAATCTAACTCCATGTTTGATGCTATTCAAACTGGAGTAAAATTTGCAAATAATATTGTCATGACTTTAAAATTCAGTAATGGATTTTAAAGCATTAAATATTGTAAATTGGAATGCTCGATCTCTTAAAGATAATGAAGACGAGCTATTTAACTTTTTAAGAGTTCATAACGTGCATATTGCCGTTATAACTGAAACGTTCCTTAAACCTGCCCATAAGGTTAAGAAGGACGCAAATTACTTGATTTATAGGAATGATCGTCTTGATGGACCCTGTGGTGGCGTTGCCATCATTATTCATAGACGAATCAAACATAAAATTCTTTCTTCATTTGAAACCAAAGTTTTTGAAACTTTGGGAGTTTCTGTTGAATCAAAATTTGGACAACTTACGTTTATAGCTGCCTATTTGCCATTCCAATGCGTAGGCCAGCAAAAGAATTTTCTCAAGGGTGACCTCCAGAAACTTACCCGTCATAGGTCTAAATTCTTCATTATTGGTGATTTGAATGCAAAACACCGCTCATGGAATAATGCTCAAAGCAATTCCAATGGTAATATTCTGTTTGATGATTGTTCTGCAGGTTATTACACTATTCAATATCCAAACAGCCCAACATGCTTTTCTTCTGCAAGAAATCCCTCCACTATTGATTTGGTCTTAACTGATTCATGTCAACTTTGTAGCCAATTGGTTACCCATGCTGACTTCGGTTCTGATCACCTTCCAGTAACTTTTGAAATATCCCAAGAAATAATTTGTAATCCCAACAGCTCTACTTTCAATTACCATAGAGCTGATTGGGAGCAGTATCGAACATTTATGGAATATAACTTCGATCCAAACATTCCTTTGCAAACCAAAGATGAAATTAATTATGCTCTTGAATCTCTGACTACTTCTATAGTTGAAGCAAGAGCTGCCTCAGTACCAAAATGCGAGGTTAAATTCGATTCAATTATAATAGACGATGATCTTCAGCTCTTGATCCGTCTCAAAAATGTCCGTAGGAGACAATATCAAAGAACACGCGATCCTGCCATGAAAGTTATCTGGCGGGATTTGCAAAAACAAATTAAAAAGCGATTCTCTGCCCTGAGGAACAAAACTTTTGAAAATAATATTTCTAAATTAGACCCGAGTTCCAAACCCTTTTGGAAACTCACAAAAATTTTGAAAAAACCTCAAAAGCCTATTCCAGCGCTTAAAGAAGGTGGTAAAATTTTGATCACAAATTTGGAAAAAGCTCAGAAACTTGCTAAGCAATTCGAGAGTTCCCATAATTTCAGTTTGGGTCTTACTAGTCCTATTGAGAATCAGGTTGCTCGGGATTTTCTGAATATTTTCTCTCGGGAAAATATTTTTGATGATTCCTGGGGGACTGATTTGGACGAAGTAAGGTCTATAACTAAAAATTTTCAAAATATGAAAGCTCCAGGTGATGATGGAATTTTCTATATCCTCATCAAAAAACTCCCAGAGAGTACCTTGTCTTTCTTGGTAAAATTATTTAACAGATGTTTCCATTTGGCATACTTTCCTGATAAATGGAAAAATGCAAAAGTTGTTCCAATTTTGAAGCCGGATAAAAATCCAGCTGAAGCTTCTAGCTACCGACCAATAAGTTTGCTTTCTTCAATAAGTAAACTTTTTGAAAAGATAATTTTGAATAGAATGATGCTTCACATCAGTACGAACTCAATTTTTGCAGATGAGCAGTTTGGATTTCGCCATGGGCATTCAACTACTCATCAACTCTTAAGAGTTAACAATTTAATTCGTTCAAACAAATCTGAAGGCCACTCAACTGGAGTTGCTCTTCTAGACATAGAAAAAGCATTCGACAGTGTTTGGCATGAAGGTTTGATTGCTAAATTGAAAAAGTTTAATTTTCCACTTTATATTATGAAATTAGTTCAAAATTATTTAACTGACAGAACTCTTCAAGTAAATTATCAAAATTCCAAATCTAATCGACTACCTGTTAGGGCAGGAGTTCCTCAGGGTAGCATTCTTGGGCCTATATTGTATAATATTTTCACTTCGGACCTCCCTGATTTGCCTCAGGGTTGCCACAAATCTTTGTTCGCTGATGACACAGGCATTTCCGCTAAAGGAAGAAGTCTTCGTGTTATTTGCAGCAGACTGCAGAAAAGTTTAGATATTTTCTCTTCTTATTTACAAAAATGGAAGATTTCTCCCAACGCTTCCAAAACTCAACTTATAATATTTCCACATAAGCCTAGAGCTTCGTTTTTGAAACCTAGTAGTAGTCACATAGTCACTATGAACGGAGTTCCAATTTCCTGGTCAAACCAAGTGAAATATCTTGGATTAATACTTGACCAAAAATTAACTTTTAAAAATCACATTGAGGGCATTCAAGCCAAATGTAACAAATATATAAAATGTTTGTATCCTCTTATAAACAGGAAATCCAAACTTTGCCTGACGAATAAACTTCTAATATTTAAACAAGTTTTTAGACCGGCCATGCTTTACGCTGTGCCCATATGGTCTAGTTGCTGCACTACCAGGAAAAAAGCACTTCAAAGGATTCAGAATAAAATTCTGAAAATGATTTTGAAGTTGCCTCCCTGGTACAGTACAACCGAAGTACATAGAATTTCGAATGTTGAGACTTTAGCACAAATGTCCAACAAAATAATTAATAATTTCAGGCAAAAATCGTTGCAATCCTCAATTGCAACGATTAATTCCCTTTATACTTAGATAAGATTTAGTTTTAGTTTTTAGTTTTAAGATATCAATTGTTATACTGACATGCAGGTTAAAAAACCTGTTTAAAATACTGAATTGCCAAGACATGAACAATGTAAAAACACTTAGATATATATCATAACAATTAAGGCTGGTACGTTACTGCAGTAACTGGAGCACCTAGGTTAAAATGAAATGTAATTTATTTTAAATTTGGAACAAATAAAGAGTTAAAAAAAAAAAATAAAAAAAAAAAAAAAAAAAAAAAAAAGGGACTCGAGAGTGTCCCCGATACTCGAACAACGCACATCACTCGATTCATCGTTGCCTTGACCAATCGCGTCAGTTTATCCGGAAGTCCGTACTCGTGCATAATCTGCCATAGCTGATCTCGATCGATTGTGTTGTATGCGGATTTGAAATCGATGAACAAATGATGTGTGGGCACGTTGTATTCGCGGCATTTCTGCAGAACCTGCCGAATCGCGAAAATTTGATCCGTGTTAGCGCGGGCACTCATGAATCCCGCCTGGTATTGCCCCACGAACTCTCTTGCATATGGTGACAGACGGCAGCATAGAATTTGGGAGAGTACCTTGTAGGCGGCGCTCAGCAGTGTGATCGCGCGATAGTTGCAGCAATCCAACTTGTCGCCCTTTTTGTAGATTGGGCATACGACACCTTCCATCCACTCCTCCGGTAATATCTCCTCCTCCCAAATCTTGGCAATTACCCAGTACAGCGCTCTAACCAGTGCTTCACCACCGTATTTTAATAGCTCACTTGGTAGTTGATCTACACCAGTTTCCAATCGTAGTCCTTATTTCGTCGCGGAGGTCTGTGCCGATTGTTCCGATCAATATTTCTTTCTTCGGTATTTGCAACTTTGTTTTTTTTTCAGGGCGGCTTGTTGGGCCTGCCCCAACCCCCTGTCTCGCCGGGGACCATCATGCACAGCTCTGTTAAGAGTCCCACGCTGGCACTAGGACGGTGATCAGCCACTCCTAACATGGAGAACAGACGCCGTTTTGAGCCGCACCTCCATGGTGAACAGACGCTCGGGTTTGGTGAAGCATTTCCTCTATCACCGTACTATGGTTACCGCGCCAGTGTTCGCGTCGCACCTCTTCACTTTGCTATTGCCGGACTGGCAACATTGCCCAGGCTACGCCACCCAGCTGTGTCCATGTTTCCGCTGGTAGTCTTTTGTTATCATATGACTCGAGCAGGCGTGAAGTAGGAACTTGTGAGGACCAGGGCTAGGTATTCCGCTCCTTCCAGGTTGTCAACTCACCAGACTCTCACGAGGCAGTGAATGATGAGGCAGATGGCAGTTCATATTCATATCAAAATGACTCAATGAACCTGACTGTTTTGCGCACCACTTTAGTCTGTTATTTGAAATTAGCATCTTCAACTATGTAAATTAACAATGGTTTCGAACATCTATTTGTCGTTCCTTCCCACGCAAAGTCCCAAGCAAACTAATCCTGCCAACAGATATAGGAAAATTTCCCCTACAAGATCGTGGTGTTAGTTTGCGTGGGTGAGTAAAGAGTTACGAAAAATCGATATGCCATTGTTTACAAACAGTTGCGTCGAATTGAAAAGTTTTGCTTGAAAGGTGTCAAAACAGCCATTCACATTGCCGGCTAATAGTGCGTTCAGACTACAGAGTTATAACATGTTATAGCGCTATCTTGATGGTGCTTTCGGTGTTGCAATTATTTGACAACCGTTATAACATGTTATAACTCGCCAGTCTGGCCAGCGTTTAAAACGCTGTGCAGACTGGAGAGTTATAACATGTTATAACGGTTGTCAAATAATTGCAACACAGAAACCACCATCAAGATAGCGCTATAACATGTTATAACTCTGTAATCTGAACGTACTATAAAACGCTGTCCAGACTGGAGAGTTATAACATGATTTCGGTAAAATAATCTTATAGTACGTTCAGACTACAGAGTTATAACATGTTATAGCGCTATCTTGATGGTGGTTTCTGTGTTGCAATTATTTGACAACCGTTATAACATGTTATAACTCTCCAGTATGAACAAGACATTAGTGTGTATGCCTATGTGGTTTCTAGCAACACTGCCAGTGCAATCAAGATAGGCGATGCTCGATTGGCTCTGGCTTTGACAATTCGTTTGGCTCAAAACCAGCCAGTCCGCTTCTCTTTTATACTAGACTCTCTCTAATGAATACGCATCTTTGAATGAACAAAAAAAAATTGAGTTCGAAACTCAGTTCACCAACGCATGAATTTGTATGTTATACAGCCAGCACAATAATAGTTGTTGCTTAGGAAAGTCCGCCCGAAAGATCAATTAAAAGTCGTAGGGTAAATGCTCCTATAGTTGCGATACGTTAGAAGCGTTAGGTTCTTATAGTTGTGTATTGAGTCTCCATGCACAACTATAGGAACCTAACGCAAATGTAGCTAATACCGTTTACTGAACTTATCTAGTAGGGTATAGATGTTTTAAAATAACATCTTATATTACCAAAACTTGTTTTAAAAGACGCATTCCCATGCGCTTTTTAGGTTAGATGTAAGTATTTAAGTTATTCTTTTTGAAAGTTATACGTTTGTCATGAAGATGTATTTTCAACTTTTGCGTAACAACCCATGTTGCTTGGGTAACATCGCATCATCGAATTAATGTAGAACGAATCCGTATAGAACACTTATAAAATCTCGACTGTTAAAGTGAATCGCACAAAACCAACTCACCATGACCGGAATTTTATCTTTTAAAGCCACTATCAAATAGGGAAAGTGTTTCATCGTGATTCTTAATCCTGAAGGTTTGGCAACTCTCAACACCACAGTACCATATTTGTTCCGCTTGAGTTAGCATATTTCCTATGTTTAACCTAGGCTTACAGTCGACCGCTTACTTATCTTCAAGTGTGGACATCACTTCTCGCTTCCTTATCATAATCGTGTCAGATAAGCTGGCTTCCTTCTGCCCATCGTGTCTATACACAGCAGAAAGGCAAAAATCGACTCGTCGATGAAAACCGATATCGATTGAGCAATTCTCCTTATCGCACCCTTGACAATATCACTCATTTCTCAAGTAGCTCATCGTCATGCCACCACCCCACAGCGACACGACAAGCGTGATTGACGACTAGTAGATATGATTTATTAATACGCCTATACATTCGATCCCATTATGCGCCAAATGTTCGATTTCCCACAGGCACCCGACTAAAAAAAAAATCCAACCCTTTTCTTTTGCAGCCAGGAAGCGCTCAAATGGAATGGCTGGGGCTACAAAGATTCCCGCTTCGAATACGGGAATGGCATCCTATTGTTCACCGGTGATCGGTAAGACGCATTAAATTTCCTCCAAAGCAAAACAAAACACATCACTGCAACCTTCCCCACGTTTCAGGTACCCAATCGGAGGATCCGTCTCGCTGCCTCACTTCAAAGAGTATGTGCTGAGAATTCTCAATGTGGATCTCAGCAGAAAGAACCCCGGCATTCCACTACCTCAAAGCTACCCGGAACCGGTACCCTGTGCCGAATTCCTAGCTAAAATGCAACGCCTTGGGATCGAGTACAACCAGGATGGAGAGGATCGTCTGATTCGAAGTCACGGTCAGGCTCTCCATGATATCCACGCACTGCGGACGGGTCAGATTAAACGGATCCCGGATGTAATTGTGTTTCCGCTCTGTCACGACCAGGTGGTTCAAGTGGTACAAGCAGCCACCGAAAATGATGTTGTAGTGATACCGTACGGGGGAGGCACTTCCGTTTCGGGATCGGCTTCCTGTCCGGAGGGTGAACGACGATCGATTGCATTGTTGGACACTAGCCAGATGAACCGAATGCTGTGGATCGATAAGGAAAACCTAGTTGTCTGCTTCGAATCCGGTATCCTCGGACAAGATCTGGAAAAGGAAATGCGCCAGCTTGGGTACACTATAGGTCACGAGCCGGACAGCTTTGAATTCTCCAGCTTGGGAGGTTGGGTGGCAACGAGGGCATCCGGGATGAAGAAAAACCTCTACGGCAATATCGAGGACATAGTGGTGAAAGTGAAAATGGTAACGGTTAAGGGAGTGCTGGAGAAAAGTGTCTCCGTCCCGCGGTTATCCTGCGGTCCGGATTTCAATCACATAATCCTAGGTTCAGAGGGAACTCTGGGAGTTGTGACGGAGGTGGTGCTAAAAATTCGTCCTCTACCTGAAAAGAAACAGTACGGATCGCTAGTGTTCCCAGATTTTGGATCCGGTGTTCGCTGTTTGCGGGAGGTGGCCAAACAACGACTGCAACCTGCCAGTATTCGATTGATCGATAACGAACAATTTGCGTTCGGTCAGGCCCTGAAACCCGCTGGCGGGTTTCTATCCAGTCTGTCCGGAGCCCTGCAGAAGGCGTACATCACTGGAGTCAAAGGTATGGACATGGAAAAGATCACGGTCGCCACCCTAGTATTCGAAGGCACAGCCCAGGACGTCAAACTGCACGAGAAGAAAATTATTGCAATCGCTTGCCAGCACGGGGGCTTCTCGGCTGGCAGCACCAACGGCGAGAAGGGCTACATCCTGACCTTCGTGATCGCTTACATTAGGGTGAGTACAGATATGTCACGCAAATTCTTAACACCGTCACCGTCGTCAACCCGGCACGTTTCAAGTGGTCGTCATCGCTCGCAGTGGGTGCGATGATGGTAAACATTCCCCGCACCAAGAGCGTTTAGCTCAATATTTACCCTCACTTGACTACGCGCCGAGTACTGCAATCGTCGATCATCAGTTTTTGCGAGTGCGAATGTGTCCGTACAATAACATATACACCTACTCTACCGGCAAGGCTAGGTTAACATCTCTGTACCGTGCTAATTGAATACCTATTTGTTTGCTTGTTCCGTAGGACTTGGCACTGGACTACAGTATCGTTGCGGAATCGTTCGAAACCTCGGTCGCATGGGATCGGTGCGAATCGCTGTGCTGCAATGTGAAAGATCGAATTAAGAAGGTAACTTATTCTGCTGTGTCGGTACCTATATAGGTTTTTTGATTAATTCTGAGACTGTCCACATAAACAAATTTTGTTGAAAATCTTATTAGTATACGAAGGCAAGCACTTTATGGAACGCATGTTCAGTCAAGGGGCCTTAGATAGCCAAGTCAGTAAAGGCAAGGTATTAGCAAGGTGGAGGCGGCGGGTTCGATTCCCCGATCATCACACAATATACAAACTCAAGCATTGGTTGGCTTAGAAAGCTCTCAATTGATAAACTGTGGTAGGACATCTAGAACACTAAGTTGAGAGCCGGCAAAACGCTCGCTACAGAAGCGTCAAAAGCCACGAAGAAGATCATAACAAACAAGCTTTAAAAAATCGAATTCATTAGAATTCATCAGTCGTGTTTGTCTTAGGAATATCTCGATGAGTAACCTGTGATCCACGCGTTGTCGTCTCTTAAGCACTTGTACGATGATGGTCTTTTATGTGGGCAGAACGAGCAGAAAAAAACTATTGATTCAAGCTCTGACCAAGTAAACTTGTAATCTGCTCTGGGAAGTTGGTACCTATTTACCATGAACGAGAGCTACGGTTACCACCATGTAGGGTGATATCGTAAATAAACACATCTCGAACAAATAACAACTTAATGTCAATTGCTGATTTTTCCAACTCTCACGCTGGTGTACGAGGGATCTAGTTCGGTTGGTTGTTTTTTTTCCCACAAAGTGCCTTAATACTTACATGCTTAATACACTTCATAGTTTTTGCTATTTGATGCGGTTCCGCACTACTATGCAAAGCAGTTGGCTCGAAAACAAAGTACTAAAAAAGGGGATCTCGCATCTGTTCCTCAATGTCTCTACTACAGATAACTGTACAACGCAATATAAAAAGACGATTACAGCCAGCAGAGAAACAATTTCGTTCATGGTTATATTTGGCTAAGTGTTGTTTACATTAGCGCACAACGGTTTAAAACTTGAGCTTCCACAATTACTCTCGGATCATTCATTATACTGGTAACGACAACTCCCACTGCCTGGCGGTGGCGTTATGGATAAAAACTGCCCGCATCCATTTCAAATGACTGGAAGAAGCTTGAATCTGAAATTAGCTGCTGGAAGTACTTCAAATGCAAGGTGATGGCTGCTTTTCCGTAGTTTATGTAGCCCCGCTCTATCTAAACTATTATCAATAATATTATATGGATAGTGGTGAAGCGACGGGGGAGGGGATGGCATAGGGTTCCCGCTCTTTATCACTCTTTTCGAATGGATTTGTTTCCATAGCAGTTGACTTCTAAATTAATTTCCCTTTCCACATGTTCTGTTGGATGTGATAAAGGATCACAAATTGTTTAGAGTCTGCTAACATGCTGCTTCTTGATTCCAAATTCGTCATACTGATTTCAATTCCGTCCTAACGCATTGCAACGCCATTGCACAGTGGGCCAGGAATTACATCCAGCAGGAAAAAAGATAATAACTTTAATAAATACTTTGATCATTTTTCACCGATCGGTACTGATCAATCCAAACTTTTTCAGATCAACGCTATTACATGTAGGGTACTAAAAAAATAAATAACATGAAATTTGAAAAAAAAACATGATTTTCAGAATGGATTTTCTAAACGCAAAATGTAATCTATTATTACAGAATCAATATATCATTAACAATCACAGAATCTGAGCCTACCGGACGACATCACAGACAAACAGACGTAACTCTTTGAATAAAATTATCTTCAAAACATAGTACCGCCAAACATAGGACTGCAGTAACGACATCTCGCGGGTTTCTTGCGGAAAACAAGCTTGCTCGCTGATTCACAAACAATGTTGCATGCAAGAAAAACCGAATATATAGAGCTTGAGCTTGCTTGAGCTTGATTGACCGCCCACGGTTGCTACTCTGTTACTGCCAGATCAACTGTAATTACACAGAGAACCAATAGACGATGCTTGGGGCTAGCAATCATCCTCAATGTGTAAAAACTGGTGATCTTAAATTAGGCAATACCAGCGCCGGCCGCGCCCGAACACAGGTCAAGAAAGGAATGGGAAGGATTGTGTTGACATTACACTCGCTTTGATGGAAGCCGAGAACACCTCTGCACTTCCACGAGGAATCACTGGGATGTTGGATAAGAGGGTTGGGTTTGCAGCTGGGTTCGTTTTGGTAAACGATAAGCTGAATTGATGTCCTAACGATCATATAACGCGAAGGAGCTTGGGACTAAGCCCACGGTCTTCTGCTCAGTAAGCAAAAACGTTTGCCACTAGGCAGACGAGCACCTTTTTAATCGCCGAGTTGCTGTTATTACCATGTAGTCATATTAACAAATAAAACGATTGACGAATCTTGAATGTGGATGGGCCTGAGATTAGACTCATGATGTTCTGCTCAGTAAGCAAAAACGGTTGCTTTAAGGCCACCGAGCCTCTCATATCACATAATACTGTTGCTCAAATTTGTGTATCCATTCAAACCCGGAACCAACGACAACAACGAGTTTCGCAAAATAATTTGATATGTAAGGACCTGGGACCGCGTTTTTCTGCTCAGTAAGCAGGCCACTGTAACCGACGATCTTTCAAATCCGAAAACTAAAAACTACGAAAAAGTACTTAGGCCTTCTTTAAGTTCCACTTTCACGCGACGTTCAATAACAGGGTCCTACGCTAAACCTCTCAAATTTTGATATTTTGTTTATCGAGTATTGCTTAATTTTTGCTGAAAATGTCAGGTTACGATTTTTTGCGCTTTGGGAGATATTAAAGTTCAAAAATTGTGTTTTTTTTCGTTTTTTCAACATTATCTTTGTAATTTGAAGCTTAATCCAGTATGTTCCTTGACAAAAGTTATTTATTTAATGCATTTGCATAAGAGCAAAATACAACATTATATGGTTGTAAGCAAAAAAACCGAAACAGAAAGAAAAAACCATATTTTCACCATTTTTTTTAACTCCATATAACTTGGAACCAGTAGGCTGTGGAAATTTTACGTCTTTGAAGGAGCTGTTCATTTTGTCAAGATAAACAACTTTGCTCAAGACATCAAGTCTCCAAAACGTCAGAGAAAGAAGTAATATTGTGGTGCCATGTTTTCGGAAGAGTTTTGAACTATTTGTTTATGTCAATAGATGGTCCTTATTATGATAAGAAACTTTGCCGAAGGCACCAAGTCGCGGAAATGCTTCGTTTCGGAGCTATTAGTTCTGCTCCGCTAGGTTGCATTCCTGACCCAGTGTGTAATGTAAGCATTAGACATTTTAAGAAATTGCGCTTGGTGTTTTTTTTTTTGCCTGCTGTTCTCTGTCGCCATATTGTCATTAGGAAAATGCCATTAGCCTGGGAATAAAATCCAAGAAATTCAATAAAATAATGGCTAAATTAGATATCCGACATGAGTTCCACTGTACATTGGTATGAATTTAATTATTGAGATCTATTTTCTGTAAAATTAAGATGATTCCATCAAATTAATTTGATTTCTGAAACAATATTTTTTGATAACTTGAATTATTTTAAAGGCGCATTTATTTAACGCTCATATTATCCCAATATACACGATACAATTTCAAGCGCATATGTTTTGGAACTTCTAAAAAGTCACATATTTTCTTTAAGATTTTCACTAATTTTGCCATAAAACAAAATTGATTACATGGTGATCTTGACACCAACACTCAAACCTATTTTTACCGCTTAAGATTTCCATATGGAAAAAAAAAGTTTCAGCAGAACAGAACAACAACACGCTAATTAATGGCTGTGGCTTTGAAGCAAATATAAATTAAATTGGATTTATAACTGATTTTCACAAAAGCATAATAAGACTGCTTGAATACAATATTACTCTTAAAGAGGCTATGAGAACCTTTTGTAGAGTGTGAGACTTTCTGACAAAAGGTTTTAAGACAGCTTTATTGTGATTCTCAAACATGCTTTATAAACCTTATCAAGAGCGGTCCACTAAGCTGTAAGACGATCTTATAGCGGTTATTAAAAGGTTGTGCTGGAGCTATTAATTTTATTGACGATTTTATAAAATTGATCTCAAAAACCACTAATAGAGTGCAATAAAACAAGAAATGCTACTTGGGAGGAAATGCCACTATCTACCGACATAATTTTACACTTTACCTAAAGTTTATTACTGGAAATTGATAGTACTAAGTATATATGGTGTTAAGATACCATATACGTCCTCAGGGAAACTCTACTGGCCAAACAGAGGATCCGGAACGACCGATAAAGTGGCCACATTATAAAAATTGTCCTAGATCCTTTCCGGTTAATCCATATTGTTCAGAATCACGAGATCGAAGCGTATTTAACTTGGAATAAATATATTGGAATATAGTGGCCATATTCTGGTTCTCCGGATAATCTGGAACGAACGATAAATTCTCCACATTATAAAAAATGCCCTAGAACCTTGCGATTTTTGCTATGTTTATTCGGAATCATGAGATCAAAGCGAATTTAATAAAGAATTTAAAGTGGCCATATCCTGGTTGTCCAGACAATCTGGGTTGACCGATAAAGTAGCCATATTATAAAAAAAAATTCTAGAACTTTTGTTTGATCAGAATCACGAGATGAAAGCCAGAAGTGGGATACTAAAGATTTTTTTAAATATATAGTTTTAAATATTTGAATATTAACAAGATTGTTATGAAAAAATAAATTGGTGGGGTTGTGTACAAGGCACGACCGCAGGGTTGACGTAGACTACGTTAAGCTGTGTAGTGAAATTCTCATGCATTTTTTCTAGATATTGATTTAAAATATAGTAGCAGTAACCTACCCAAGTAACATTTTAAGTTTTATGAAATACTACAAAGCAACTATAAAACAACATTCATAAAACCCTGGTCAAGGCTATTTTGTCATTAATGCATCCACCAAAACCTCATTAAGACTAGAATATGTCTAGTTGGCCCACCCTGGAGAAGGTTCTGAAGGGTGTATTCTCGAAGCTCTTCAAGATTGATCT